GATCAGTGTTTGAATTACCTTATTGCAATGTCTTGAAGACAATTCTTCCTTTGTTTCTGGAATGAAAATCACTGTCTTCCTCTTATGTATTAAACTTAGTTTTCTCTGTGCGTTTCTTTCATGCCGGCCCCTCACTCCAGCACCAACACCAACTTTGATCCATATCCCTGAGAAACATAACCCCCTTTTTGTAAGTGGTTTATTTTACTCTCCAAAAATAAATTGCACCATAAAATGTGGGAGATTAGGAAGAAGAAACACTATTACAAATAGATCAGTGTTGTGTGGGAATTTTGTGGGCATGCTGCCAACTTGAATAAAATATTTTGGGGGGAGGTAAGCTCCGCCCCACATAATTGATCACATAACACAGTGCACACACACTAATTGAATAGCAATGTCCATCAGCTTGGGGGAGGCAGCCCCCTCAAATATTTTATTATGGTGAGAAGACAAACGTGAAGAAAAGCAACAACCAAGAGCTAATTGAGTTTGGAGGAAAGGAAATACCTTTCAAAATAATAATAATAATAATAATAATAATAATAATAATAAATTTTATTTATATCCCGCCCTCCCCAGCCAAAGCCAGGCTCAGGGCGGCTAACAACAAACAAATAATCAAACAATCAAATAATCCAACATTCTAAAACATTTCATTATAAAAATTAATTAAAATCAAATTAATGGCAACCGTTAAGCAAAGTTCTGTGCAGGTTGCCAGAGGAGGGAGTCAGGCTGGGCCCTGACCAAAGGCCTGGTGGAACAACTCTGTCTTGCAGGCCTTGCGGAAAGATGTCAGGTCCCGCAGGGCCCTAGTCTCTTGTGACAGAGCGTTCCACCAGATTGGAGCCGCAGCCGAGAAAGCCCTGGCTCTAGTTGAGGCCAGCCTAACCTCTCTGAGGCCTGGGACCTCAGATACTCAGAGTTGGGTGGGAAGCTTGTAGGGGGGAATAGCCCCACCCCCATAAGGATTAGTTTTCTAAAAGTCTCAACCCTTTCTCCTTCTCAGGAGATCCAATAAGCTGCCACCCTGTTGACTGCAGGCTCTATGAAAATGAAATTTAGACCTGTAACGCGAATGACATCAGTGAGAGAACAAGCAAGCATGTGTTTCCCCCCCCCATATATATATACATGTTTTCTTTTTTCATGTCCCATTCCATGAAGACATTCATAGACCAACACAAAGTAGGATTAAAGCCGCATAATGGAACTGGGAATTGGACAGTACCAATGCAGAGCCTGTGGGGAAATAAACTCCATACTATGTAGCATAAGCATATCTCTTGTTTGGAAAGCAGAAAACAACCCATGGCCTATTTAAAGGACAATAACTTCATAATCGGAAAATATTTTTAGCTCTAGCTGGGGGAAAAGAAACGGGTATTCCAAAATTGAGACAAAGTGGACTTATTCATCTTCTTGATCAACATAGCTCGCTCATGAAAATGTGAATTGCGTGGCAATTCCCGCCCCTTCCCACGGATGGAATAAATAAAGACACCGGACACCAGAATTTAAGTTAATGGGCGAAAATGGCCACAACTTTATTGATTACAGGTAAGAGTGGTATTGGCTTTAGGCATTGGCCCTAACAGACTATCCGGTCTAACCGGGAAGGGTTAAGCACCAACAGGGGGAGCCCCGAGATGCACATCCCTAGGCGCTCCCCAAGGGGTTACCGCTCGGGGCGCGCTTAGGCCCTAGCCTCCGTAGGTTTCGGACGAGGCGACGCCCCGGAGTCCTTTAACGAACTACCCTTCACGATTTGGGGAGGTGATGGCGTTCCTCCCCCCCAACTTCATTTGCATAACAATACCCCTGCCAATGCCTACCGCCACACGAGCCAGGCTCGCCGCCAATACCCTCAGACCTGTAACCAATCCCTGATCCCCCGAAAAATGTCTGCCAGCCAAATATCGTTACCAGCATCGGAAAGATGCACGCCATCCCCACGGTAGAGTGCTTCGTTGCCAAACCGGATACCTGGGTGTTCGATGACCCGGCCCCCCATTGCAGCCACTCTACGCGCCACCGAGCGCTCCAGGATCCTCCTGGCCTTATTCACCGCCACCGGATTTGTGGCGTCCCGCCAACAGTGCCTCTCAAGCAGAGATGACCAGATAATTGTCATATTCGAATAAGCAGCCCGCAACTCCCCCAGGTCATTGAAAATATTCCACATTAAGTCCACCCCTTTCTATAAGCCAGGTCGTTCTCGCCCAGTTGGATGACCAGCGCATCGGGTGGGCCTTCAACTGCAATTCTTTTTGTTACTGCTGGGAAGAATTCCTCCCAGCGCATTCCCCGACGTGCAATCCAGGACACTTCAACACTGTATGGGAGTTGCAGATCGCCGCCCCAGCCCCTGGCAGCTGCCCGCGCTCTTGCCCAGTGGACAATGCTGTGGCCAATGATCCACAGTCGCACCGCCCCGACACCTGAAATAGAAGAGAACAAGAGAGCCGGATCAGGGGGACAGATGGGGGAAAGGAGGGGGGTTTAGCATGGCTTCCGGATGTATCCCCTGTAAGCATTTGACTTCCAACGGCCCATGTCCATTATCCTCTCAGCCGGTAGACCCATGTGCACGGCGGTGGTCGCGGCCCCAATGCGAAATGAGTGGGCGGCATACTCCTCCGGTGGAAGCCCAATAGCAGCGATCGCCTTGCGCATAACCCTTGTGAACTGGTGCTTTGACAGGCGAGAGCCGTCAGCATGTATGAAGAAAGGGCCGTTTAACTTCGGCCTTAAGCTCAGGAACTTTCTCCCATCCTTTACAGGGCAAGGGCCGGCCTTCTGAGTCGCCTGCAGGCAGATTAGGGCCCCTCTGCCAAGCTGGTCAGTCTTTGAGCTGCGAATTCTCAGGATTACCTCTGCACTAGACGAGGTCACGTCCTCAAGGAGGAGCCCCCTGTTGTTACCACCCGATTGGTCCTCACAGACCACCTCACCTATGCGTAAGGCGCCAAAGAAGGCGAAGGAAAATGCAGTGGAAAATAGCCTGGCCTCGTACCTGGACCAGCAGATGGCCCTGAGCTTCTTACGTATTTGCGTGAGAATGTCATAGGTTATGGGTCTTCTGCTGTCGGAACTAGGAGGCCGAGACCTACGCCAGCCCTCTAGCATCTTCCGCACCACGAAGTGTGCACAGGGGTCGACAGAGAACAACGCTTTGGAGAAGAACGATATTGCAGCGGAATGAATATTGAGGGTTTTGGGGGCCCGCCCTAGATCGCGGAGGCGCACAAGGTATTCTATGACCTCTGACTTAGACGGGGCCTGCCCGGCTTAAATAGCCCTTTCTTCTGACGGAATGACGTGAAATCTAGCCACGCCTTGTTATAGGATCGTAGGGTTGAGGGTGCAACTGCTGACAATACTCCCTTTATTGCTTCTCGTTGCCAATACTCCAGAGGTGTTCCGGAAACGGCTGTGGCAGCAGCTGAGCATCCGGCGCCAATGAGCGAAAGCGATCCGTCTGAAAACGAGACAGAGCATCCGCAACATTGTTATTGATACCTGGTACGAATTTGGCTGAAGCATATAAGTTTAGCCGAAGGCAGGAAAGGACAAAATGACGCAACAGCGACGCCACTCTAGGTGAACGAGAGGATTGCTTATTTAAGACGGACACCACTGCCTGGTTGTCTGTCCAAAAGCAGACCCTGCGGTCTTTAAATTGCTCAGCCCATAGATGAATTGCAACTACGATAGGGAAGAATTCTAAGAATGTTAAGTCGCGTAGTATGGGTTTACCCTGCCATGAAGAGGGCCATCGCTGTGCGCACCACTGACCTCTGAAGTAGACTCCAAACCCCAAAGAACCTGCTGCGTCTGAATGGACCTGGAAATCGGATTGAAGGGCCATGCTATCTTGCCAAAGTGAAATTCCGTTATATCCATCTAGGAATTGCAGCCAGACCTGGAGATCCGATTTTACTGCCTTCGAGAGGCGCACCCTATGATGTGGCGACCTTAAACCTGATGATAACTTAGCCAGCCGTCCGCAAAAGGGGCGACCGGGTGAAACCACTCGGCACGCGAAGTTAAGGTGACCTAAAAGTGATTGAATTTGCCTGAGGGTAACCTTCTTTAAGGGCAATAGCTGTAAAATGAGCTCCTTAAGGGCCACCAACTTCTCAGCAGGAAGGCGAGATGTTTGGGCAATAGTGTCAAGCTCAATGCCCAAGTAAGTCATCGTAGTGACCGGACCCTCGGTCTTTTCATTCGCTAAAGGGACCCCCAGCTCCTCTGCCATGGACATGAAGGCCTGTAGCAAGGCCGTACAGTCATTTGCATTACTTGCCACCAAAATAAAATCATCCAAGTAATGCCCCACCCCTTCAAAACCAGATTTAAATTTCAGCGCCCATTCAAGGAAGGTGCTGAAGGCCTCAAAAGCAGCGCAGGCAATTGAGCACCCCATTGGCATTGCTTTATCAATGAAATACGCGCCCTGGAATTTAAAGCCTAACCAACAATAGTCTTCAGGGTGGACAGGGAGAAGGCGAAATGCAGATTCGATGTCGCATTTGGCCAAGAAAGCCCCCCTGCCAAAACCCCGAACCAGTTTTACAGCCTGATCAAAGGATGCATATTTTACCGTGCACAGTTCCTGGGGGATAGCATCGTTAACTGAAGTCCCCTTAGGGTAAGAGAGGTTATGTATCATCCTGAATTCCCCAGGGGCCTTTTTGGGGACAATGCCGAGCGGAGAAATATGCAGCTGATTGATGGGAGGTACCGCAAATGGACCGGCCACCCTCCCAGCCAAAATTTCTTTCTGAATCTTTTTCATCGCAATGTCAGGTCTCTCTAAAACTGACTTCTGATTGGGGGGGCAACTTGAACTGGGGGTGAAGGCAACTGGAATTCTGAACCCATGGGAAAACCCTTCCTCTAGAAGAAGGGCGGCTTGTCTATTAGGGTATAGATTTAACAGAGTTCTTAGGGGTTGGAGCTTAATCGGAGAATGAGCTAGGCCGAGGGACAAATTAGTAGCGATTCCCTGCCGACCCTTGGGCGGGTCCTGAAGCACCAGAGGGGGCACCCCGGTTTCCCTGATGGAGGTGACCCCTGCCGCCTCGAAAGGGCTGTTGTTTACTTTTGTAGCAGTTAATAGCAGGGTGGCTGCCTAGACACTTGTCACATTCATGCAAATACTTACAAGAGGTGCGCTGGCAGTTCCCTCTATTGAAGTCCCAGCATTGCTTACGACGTTTTGTGTCCACCTTACCAGGTTTTGCTTGGTCATGTGTTTTCTTTTCGATGTTAGGCCCCACGTGCTCCATCCAATAGTTATTGTCCCTCTGATCCCAGCGCGTGGAGGACAACAACGAGGCATTCCTACGAAAATCCTCGTCGTACGAGATGGCAGCCTCATCTCCCGCTAACTCGCAAGCCCTTCTCACATGCGCCAGATAAGATGCAAGATGCAACCCACGTTTTGGATAACATCCTAAAACTATCCCCATGAATACCTGGTAACCGTTGAGCCAATTCTCGAATGTACGCTCCGCCCGAGGGGACCTATATCTTTTCTTACCATAATACCGCTTTTTCTCCCCTTTTCCTTTTATTTGCGCAGGCGGTAGCAAAGTAAACATATCTATGAAGTCCCCGTTCAGTATCTTATCCCTTTTCCTCTTAGAAAGGTGATTACCCAAGATAAAATCAGTAGCCAAGTGAGTTGAAACTTTAACATCTTCCACCAACGCCCCGTCTTTCCACTCAAGAGTACCGTTAAAGGTTTTCCGGTGTGAATTGGCCCGCCTCTCATGGATCCACAAGGGGGCACCAGTTTCCTCCCCCTCCCCCCAGTATGTCTCCATGGGCGCATCACTATCACCCTCAGAAGAAGAAGTACCTGTCTCGTCCTCGGAGTCAGATGTGTCCCTTCTCCTGCTCTTTTTGGACACGTGCTTCCTCTTCGCTTTCCGTTTCCTTCCACGGGAGCTACTGTCTTGCGGGGCTGGGTCATTAGACGTTGAAGCTGCCTGCTGGGGAGGCAACTCCTCATCCGAAGATGACCCCTTGGACGGACTGCGCTGGGCTGGAGCATCCTGAAAAACACTAGGAACCCCAATTGTCTCCTGGCTTGCATTAGGGGGAGCGGCCCGTAACGGTCTGGTCTTCTGTGCACTGGCCTTTGACTTCTGCGGGCCAGGCTTGACTTTCTGGGCACTAGACTTAGACTTCTGAGCGCGTGCGGTCTGTAAACGCGTTTGGGGTCGATTGGGCGGCTCCACGCCAGGCTGCGTGGCGCTGGACGTAGATGAGGAGGGTCCTGCTAGGCCCTGTTGGCTGGGTGGGGTGTCAGGAATACAATCTTGAGATAGCTCCACTATGGTAGAAGTCGAGGCAACTGGGGGCCCGCATTGCGCGTAAAAATTTTGGATTGCCGAGAAGAGTTGAGCTAAAGCTTGAGGGTTACCATGCGCAACAGGCACTAGGGCCCCACCTGACTGGGGTGTTCGAGCATTGCCCCTGTTTGCCATGTTGACCGCCTAAATATGAATGAGTGTATGCAAGTGTATATGTGTGTATATATATATATATTCTATGCGTGCGTGTATAATTTTTTTTTTTAAATTATTATTTATTTATTTAAGTATTCTATTTATTTATTATTTATTATTTATATGTATGTATGTATCTAATTTTTATTTATTTATTTATTTGTTTGTTTGTTTTTGTATAATATTATTTATCTCCTTTTTAAAAAAAAATATTGTTCTTCTTATTATTATTATTATTTATTTATTATTATTATTATTATTCAAATTTATTTATTTACTATTTTCTTATTGCTATTATTTATTAACATACACTATTCTTTATTTATTCCCTTACTAATTGGTTATTTGGTAGTTAAGTGATAACGACCTCCTCTTCTGATAATATTACTGCTGTACCTGAAAGCAATAACCGACCTGGTGTGTAAGAAACCAGCTGATCAAAGTAAGGCTACTGAGTTGAAGCAAGCCTTTTACGACTCTGCAATGACTTTTGCACAGAAATTTTTGAAAGCCATATATAATGCTGGAATAAAATAAAGCGGCTCCTAGTCCAAGAAATGCAATTGCAAAGCAAGCCTCTGGGAAACCAAGCAATGATTCACCTGTATGGATTGAACCAGCAACTTCCCAGAAAGTATAGAAAACTTTTAGATTAAACCCATGAATTATTTAAAACGTGAATGCGGCTCCTTCTATAGTTAGCTAAAATTATTAATATCCAGCAGCAGAATGAATTAAATCGGGCGATGAATTATTAAATTATCCAGCAGCGCAAAAGGATTAAATGCAGGAAGCAGGCAGCCCAGTGAGCTACTGTTGAGCTGCTTACTCCAGAAAGCAGGGCACACTTGAAGCCAATAAGCTTGCTAAACTCGAAAGAACTGCTGAAACTGTAAGCAACTGTATTAAAAGTAACCTTTCCTAGCGAGGCAATGAATCTATCTTTCTACTTAAGCAGAATGGCAACAGATGCAACTAAACTGGAGAGGCAAAAGATACAGCGTAACGACCGTCAGGCAAAGAGGTTTTAAACCAGGCAGCAATCTGATCGTTTATTTCAACCCTAGCTTCCCAGCGGCTATAATGTATCAATCTGCTGCAGCAGGCAGATGTCGGACTGATAGCAACGCAGGGACCAGTCACCCGATGCCTCACCTAAGATGGCGACCGCCGTGTGACCACGTGGTCAAGTTAAAATGGCGGCAGAGGCTGATGTTGTCCCGGCAACAGGGAGCCCCGGAGCCGAGAGGATCGCACCAGAGTACAATTATGCCTCCCTCGGTACACCTCCCTTTCCCACGATTCTGCGTTAAAGGGATTGATGACAAATAGCGCAGCCGGCAGGCACCCACCGAGATACAGACAAGCCCCCCTCGCGAACGGAACCCCTGTCCCAAGCACCTATAGCAATTAACACTGTATGAGACAAAGCAACAAATCGCTCTCGATACAACTGCTTATGACGCCTGAACCAGGGCGCGTTTCCCCCCTCCCCGAGATGCACCCCAACAGCAATGAAACCTCAGTGAGCGCTGAGGCAGCTCACGCCTGTAGTCCGCTTCCAAAAACCCAGTCGTTGAAAAGCCACGTGCGTATCCACAGCAGGGCGACCGGAGGGGGGAGGAGCGCGCGATCCACGGGCGTCCCGGGCTCCTGGCGTTAGTAGGATGATGCTAGGATCCGAGGCAGAGAGGCAGCGCTTGCTCTCCAGCCAAGAAATGTGAAAGAACTGCAGAAAACTAGGCAGTAAAGCAGCCAGAACGACGGGACAGCAGAGAAGAGAAAAAAAAATAAAAACCGCAGCTGCTGCAAGGAAGGAAAAGGGGCGAGCCAGGGCTTCCCCGACCTTAAGTGCCCCATTGTAAGCCCGCCCCTAGCGCCTGCCGATTGGCCGGCGCTGTGGGATAATGAATAATAATTAGTTTGGGGAATCCCTGAGTCCCGCGGGGCTGGCGCCAGCCCCGCGAGAATGTAGTCAGGGGCGTGAGCCCGCAACCCCTCCCCCTCCTTAGGTCGGGAGTGGCTTTAATCACCTCTGCTCATCTGCAGGCAGAATACATCACTGGATATGAGGAAAGGGAGGTGTGCTGCCGGAACAGCAATATCTCTCGTGTTCTGCAATTATGTCATCAGGGGACCTCAAGGAGTCCTGTTGTCTCTCTATGTCCATAATTATTTGCCTGACCACGGATCTTGCTTGATCCAATCCCAAATTTAAGATGGCTTGAGGAGCAAGGCCCAATTTCTGCAGAGAGTTCAGGACCGCTATCTGCCAGCCAGACTGGAACCGATCACAAAGAATCAATGGAGCTATACCTTGGGGGGGGGGGGCAATTTCAACCAGCGTTTCTCCAGGAGGCTTGCATATGAAACATGCTAACAAAATATTAAATCAGTTTCATTGCCAGCAATCTCAATGTTGTGACAATGTATACTTCTGTATTTTTCATTTGAGGAAAATGACCCTGTTGTGGATGAAAGCTTTCATGCAACCTTTACAAAATGACATAGGATAAAAGAGAAATAAATGATTCTGAAATAGATGCTGATATATGGAAGGGATGGAAGTTACAGCCACTTAGGCGCTTTAAGGTACTGAGTCAGTCCTGAAAAACTATAATTGCTATGTGTATGCTGGCCAAAATGATTACACATTCATATTATCTGTGGGGATTTCATGTGCTATATTGAAAAAGGCTTGTTTTTCATTTGCAGTTGTGGTTCAGCTTGAGATGGAGGCAGCAGCTCGTTTTGGAAATTCACTCTGTTCCTGCTAATTGGTTTGTGATGTTGCTCTTTCATGCTTGGTGTATTGTTGCTTTCATCATCATTGGTTCTGGGTTGCAGTACTTGATGCATCATTTCAGATTTTGGCATGTTTGGTGAATGCCATCTCAGCTCTATTCTGATCCATGTTTGTATATTGTGCAACCATGATTGGCGTCTCTCCTTCAGGTGAGAGCAGGGGCACAGCCACTAGTTGTTATTGGGGAAAAGAAGCAATGGGTTTATCCTACTCCCATCTCTCTCTTTTGGATGTGAGGATGGGTACAGAAACTGAATGAAAGTCTTCTCTTGCAATTTTGTATGAAAGGATGGACAAATAATTTAATTTTCAGGTTCTCATTTTCTCATGCGCAAGCTCATTTTGCCGTATTTCCATGCCGTAAGTCATTCAGTGTTCTGTTATTATTTTTTGTAGGTATTTGCCAGGCAGGACACTAATTTTTAAAAGTGTATTACATAACCACAGGAGTAAATAGGAGGATAATGAAAGGGGATTGGAATTGGATAAAACACATGCTAATGAATACAGGGCGGCTCAGGAATGGCTGGATGAAGTCCACGTCCAACAATTAGTCAGGGAGGGTAGAACACCTGAAGGCAGTTTTCGTCTACAAGGGAGGGACTTGGAGTCCTGAAATCGTATAAAAGGACTTGCTGCCCACGATTTGAACAAGAGCTCCCCTCACCTTCACTTGAGTACTTCTCTTGAGACCTTGGTAAGTGAGAGAACTTCATGCCCTTTGCTGCCTCTTCCTTTCCGAACTTCACTCTCTCTGTCTCCTTCTTTGAACCTAGATCTGCTCCTTTTTGCTCATCTTCTTTCTCATTTCCTAGGGCTCTTTGGAGAATTAGATATGCTGGACTCCAACTCCCATCATTCCTGGCCACTGGCTGTGCCAGCTGGGTGTTGGAGTCCAACAGTATCTAGAGTGCCAAAAATGTGTCCGTCCGTCCCCCCCCCCCGATCCTGGTCCACATGGACTGGTGGTGGTTGTACCAGAAATTGTGTCTGCGCATGTCCAGACACCGAAAATCGCTTCTGCACAGGTGTGCTTTTCGGAATCTGGGCATGTGCAGAAGCAATTTCCGGTGCCATGGATATACGCAGATGCGATTTCCGGCGTTGCACTGCGCCGGTCCAGCCCACGGACGATCTCCATGGGAGTGATCCATCCCATGGCCAGTTAACCTTGCTGACCCCTGGTTTGCACCATGTCAAGGTTCAACAGTGACTGACTTCATGGGGCTGCTAAAACCCTGTGGATCTATTCCCTCAACGTAGGGCTTGTGGAATGATGAACTGAGCCTGGGACCCACAGCCATGGCAACCCTTTTGCTGCCTGCTGCTGTCAATAGAGATTCAGCCTGATTTTAACCCACCACCTTTGTACAGTCTCATTCTTTTGCTGCTCTCATGGGTCACATACTGAGTCTACTTGGGCTAATGTGGCCTCAGAGTTAGCCATTGTGATATTCTAATGATTTTAAGTTGCCCTTCATTGACAACACTCTCTACACCAATTTTCTGCTTACATTCCAGTCAAGTAATGCTGGGGCAGGTTTTTTTTATTTTTAGTTGAAAGTTGCTCAACCATATCGCCCCTGTCATATTTCTGTGAGTCTTGGTTCAGGCATGTCCTCATTACCTCTGTGTTGGATGTTAATTCTGTGTTAATTCTGTGTTAATTCCAAAAGGATTAACTTAAATTGGAAGAGAGCGAGAAAGAGAGAGAGAAAGAGAGAGAGAGAGAGAGAGAGAGAGAGAGAGAGAGAGAGAGAGATGAGGAAAGCAGGATTACCTTGAAACTCTGCAAAACGACTTCTGCCTGAACTGAACATCTCTTCCATCCCTAAAATGCATGGCTCAGTGCAGAATGGCCTTTTTGAAAGCTAGTTTGCACAGTGTCCAATTACCAAATCAATGGTATCGCATGTTAAATGCACAGCAGCATAAATTCAAATTCACTTAATGACTGCCTCTTGTTTCCCCTCCGTTCATCAGCTGCTTGTGAATATCTCTCCCCTCTGACTTAAAAGAATCTTCCTGCCTCATTTACTGTGAGAAACAAAAATCTTACATTGTGGTTTTACCAATATTGCTCATTTGATCTGATTTGAATCCTTACCTGCCGTTTGCTATAAGGTCCCATGGTGGGTTATTACAATAAAATATACAATTACATAAAAATAAA